TTTGATAGATTCAGATATTCCAAGCAAATTACAACAAAGAATTCATTATCCCATCCCTGTGAATGATGATTCTTTAGAGTTTATATATCTTGTTTGTCATTTAATTACTCAAATAGTCAATTACTCTCGTATCGTATAATGAGACTTTTCTTCAAATTAGTTTGGAAAGAGATTGTACTTAATTTTCATACAGTTGTTACAGCATTTTTGTTGTTTTTGTTGTACATCGCAGTCACTCCTTTGGGTGGAACCAGAATCCAGGAGCTGGACTCTAGAAGGACAGGAACAACCCCCTCTGGTACTGTACGAAACTAAAACTGGGACTACATTGCTACAATCCAAGGTCTTGAATACCCATTCTATTTTGGCCAACACAAGACTGGGAAAACTCAAAAATGGTATGCTGACCAAACCTGATTGGACAGCATTCTGGCAGGCTCTGAGTTTAATACCCTCTCAGAGAGATGCTACTTTGCTGTGGCTACAGTCCTTGTTAGTTGTAGCCTCAGCTCTGTGGTTGTCATTACACATGGTGAATGGACATTTCAATCACGTGCGGAAGGTGTGACTGGGGCTGGGAGTCAAATACCCATCGCTGGCTCGATTGCCCACTGGCGGACGAGCTATGGATATGGTGGCTTCATCATTGGAATTTAATTACTGGGCCGGCATGGCTGTGGATGGACGACTGGTCTCTGTATGGGATCCCTCCAATCCATAATGGATCATATAAAGAAGGTCGGGGTTGCGTCGCATTGGCCTGCAAAGGAGTTCTCGTCCAAGAAATTTGGAGGGCAAGGAACTCAGAGATTTTCAAGAGCACAAAAATACCAGTTCAAGAACAGCAACATCAAGTCATAGAGAATATTAGAAGTACGATCCTGGCCAGTTGGCAAGCGTGCCCCAAGAGCAGGAAGAAAGGGTTTACCTGGTTTGTGAAGACATGGGCAATAGATAGACAGCTGGCGGTAGTTACGCAGGAAAGAAAACTTGTGTTGTCCTGCTTGCTAAAACCTCCCGGAGGGTCTCGGCCTGTGGTAGTCAGACCCTTTGTGAAAAGGTTGCCGGATTAGGCTCCTTCCCATCGATAATAGGTGGTTCTCTCTTAATCAATTGTAGGCTAGTGAGGCTCGTCGTTTCAGAGTTGGAATAAAAGTGAGATCTTGGGTGGATTTGAAGAGCTTCTTGAATTACAGTTGGAAAGTTTTTTCAAGCTCAGGATAAGGACGCTGGATATGGTTTCCAGCTCCAGCCTAACCAAGGGTCGGTTTTGTGCTGAAATTACACAGGTTTAGCCGGACGGTATAGGTCCCCTTTTCTTTTGAAGAGCTTCAAGGTTTATTTGGAAGAGTTCTTTTAGATGGAAGTGGAGGGACACTAGACCCGGTTTCCAGCATAGCCTAAGCTGGGTAATGGCCCCAGTCCTCTCCGGGTTGTTTGTGAGGATTCCAGGCCTCGTTTTCCATATGTTTAATGAAACGTTGAATTCTTCCAAAAAAAAAAAAGATTTGAGAGAAGAAATATAGCGTACCATTTTACCTTGTGCTTCAAAGCTATATTCGTGTCTTCGTTTTTTTTTTTCTTTTTCTTTCGGAAAGAGCTTTCCATATAGGGACGATGGACCTGGTTTCCAGCAGCAGGAGGGCATTTTGCATACAGTTGGTTGGTTAATGAGCCCTGCTCGTAAGCTAAACTGGCTGACGCTGCCAGGATAACTCCGGGTCGGATTGTGAGGTCCCCGGCCTTGCTCTATTGTTTTGAAATGATATTGACAGACTTTCCAAAAAAAACAAAAAAAAAAGCGTACTTTTTCGAAGAAAACAACAACAACAACAACAAATCCACCCGTTTGTCTTTCGTGCACGTCGTGAGCAGTGCAGCAAGGACGGGGCAAACGGGGTAAAGGACCTCACTGCACTACTCTCCACATGCACAAAACACAAAAAAGATGACAATGTATCTTTGCATGTTCTAGTGGTGTATTCAGTCTCATTGCACATTTGGAGAGTAGTGCCACGAGGTCCAAAGTTAGAATGAAGTCCGCTAGGAGACCGAAAGATACACCGCGATATTTTTTTGTCTTTTGTGCATGTCACGAGGCCCGCTGCCTGTAGAAAACGACACTCTGCGGGTCCCTGCGCTATGTACTTGTATTCAAACATGCGCCGAAAACAACAGATGCAACAGCCCCACCAGGAACCCCGCCCCACACAGCCGCCCCAGGCCCAACAGGGAAAAGGGTCTTGCGGGACAGCAGCTATCACGCGAGACCCACGTTTTCCTTTATAAAGAGTGAGACACATGAGACAACTTACAAATTATGGGCCTCGCTGCGCTACTCTAGTGGGTCGTCGCTGCACTTACTCTCAATCAGGAAATTCTTGAAACCCGATCGAGAGCTGTCAGAAGGCACGCTATAATGCCACTCTCGAAACGTCGAGCGTCGCCCGCCTGCAAAACACGGAGTCACAAGTGTGCTCACGAGTTGCCCGCTGACCGTCTCATTTTTCGAGAGTGGACCTCCTGTCCCGGCGGCCAGACCAGCCTGGCGTTGTCCCGTAGTGTAGTGGTACAACCGTACAGGTCTTCTGTCGAGTCCGACAACGCCCGGGGTTTCGAGAGTGCATCTAGCGTAGCAGGTTCTACAGTAAGTGCAGCGACGGCGGGGGTATTTCGAGAGTCTCGCCTCTGACAACGCTAGTTGAACTCTCGAAATATTTTGAGAGTCTAGAGTAATGCAGCAAGGCCCAATATTCTACCATAGCATTAAGGGCGTCGCCACACCACTCTCCAAATGTGAAAAAGACAAAAATGTGGCGGGTGCATCTGGCCATGTTCTAGCGGAGAGTTCATTCTCATTTTGCACATTTCGATAGTGGTGTGGCGATGCCCTAAGGCTTCCTTTTTTCTTTTGTTCCCTGTTGTGTTCCAGCCTTCCGGGGACGAAGTGCAAAACAAACAAACAAACAAACAAACAAACAAACCAAGTTAACAATCAAAGACAAAAACAAAAACAAAAACAAAAACAGGTAATGTCAAGAAGTTTAAAAACTCAAAAAAGGTACTTACCAGCCAGAGCCCAAAAGCTGAGCGCAAGGTCACCAGCAGGAGCCTTATAGAAGCCCGGGAGATCGAACCGCATATCCACTTACATAATGTCATAAACACCGCCATTACACAAGTAATGCACACCAGCAGCATGTGAAAACACTCCTTCACTGGGCCTCTGCTTGTCCTATTTGCGCTCTGCATAACAGCACCATCTCCCCCAGAGGCGCAATCACCAGTCCCAGCAATAGGGTGGACTTCTTGATTTGCAAGCAGTTGACTCGTGGACTCTGAGTGCCCACCAGCAAGTGGAGAGGCTGCAGTTGATGCAGGAGGAGGAGGTTGTTGTCTCCGAGTGGACCCTGTTATCAGGAGTGCTGGTGCAACAAGGACGATGGCTGCAAATAGCTCTGGTGCACGGAAGTAGGCATCAAGGGCCACGAGCGAACCTGCAGAGTGACTGCTCAGCTCCCTCAGTTGCCCCGTCACACAACTCGTTAGAAATTCGCAATCTATTACAATTCTGTCAATGAGAAGCATTTGTCGCCCCCCCCCCAAAAAAAAAAGGGGCATTATTGCACACAGCTGCCCATAGCGAGTAAAAAAGAAATTTCGATTAGCGACATCTGAAATTAAAAAAAAATGATTTGTTCAGAAAAGAAACATCCAAGCACGCACACACACACACACACACACACACAAGCACGCACACACACACACACACACACACACACACACACACACACACGCACACACACATACATACACACACACACACGC